GACAGTCTTCTCTTATTGCTCAGCAAAAAAAGGAAAAATGCTCATCTTCCTTTCCTTGAACATAAACTTATTCAGCTTCTAACACAGAGTCAAAAATATTAGAGATTTAAGTGATATTTTCAGCCTTTGAAATCTAAAAATAGTAAGGATTTGATGATTTGTGGGGGGGGTTTCTTCTAAAAGATATTTTTATTAATCCCTTTTTTTTAGCAAAGAAAATAAGACGTTTTCTGCCTGTCCTTTGGGGGAGAAGAATTCGAGAATATTGGCAGGTTAATGGAAGAATACAAATCTTCCAGTGGAAGATTTCTATAGTAGTCTGTTTTAACAGAGAATACAAGTAAAAACTCCAAGTAATTCTAAATATTTCCAGTCAGCTGTCAGTTTGACATAAACTCTCTTTCTGAAAATTGATGGTTTCTTTTCACCAGTTATAGAGAATAAACATTTTAATTTGATCTCTTATTTTTCTATGCCACATAGAAAACTGGACCTTCGAGAGAAAAGAGAAAAAAGTCCACACACTCTTTTCTGTACACAAATCAATTGAAGTAAATGTTTATGCAATTTGATGCAGGTTGAGTTTTGAAATAACAAATTCCAGATATAATGGTTGTGGCCTGATATTTTTTCATGACTTCAAGCATATATAGATATAATTTTTTTTTAAGAAGGATTTTGCATGTCTTTACCTAGTGTGCTGTTTATTTGTGACCTGTGGGGGAAATCAGCCTCCCAAAATGAGAAGTTTAAAAGCATTGGGATTATTGAGTGGTACTAATGATTATGAGTATGTTAAGTGACCTGAAGAATAAAAGTCTGCTGTGTGAGCAAGGCCTGATCTGTCAATATGTGAGCTTAAGAGAAGGGGCTGTATGAAACATTAAAGAAATTAGCTGTCTGAGGAAGCTCCAAGCTTGGTTTGATGATGTGAAAAATCAGAGCTCTAGAAAAATCCTTAAAGAACACAGGAAAAAAACCCACTTTTTTTTTATAGAGTTTTTGTAGAGGAGGATAAGAAGAATACTTATTCTGAGAGGATTTTTTTGAAAGTGAGAGTCCACTCTGACTGGACAATGAATGGGTGTTCACTGTCAAGGCTGTTGTTGAAGGAGATCGCCACTGGGCCCACTGGGTTTCTCCAAGCTGACTTGGTAGCTGCTGCCCTTCATGTGATTGCCCCTCAGGCAACTGCAGTCAAACTGATAAGAATTGAGATATTTGAAGTTCACCCCATTCATTTGAACTGAAGTGAGTGAGGGAGCTCCTACATGTCAGCAGGTAGAAGGAGGCAGGGAGGTGGTAACAGACAGGGATTCACTCAGCCACCTCGTCAGTGTGCTCCTTCTGCCTGACTTGCCAGGCTCTTTTAGGGCCTGAGCATCTGTGGTGACTTTGCTTTCTGTCTGATCCTCACTCTTTTGGTTTGCATCTACTTTTGTCCCAGATTTATGTAAATAACTTTTGAAATTGTTTTGTGCAGCCTCCAAAGCTGTAATGAACTTCAGATGAATAAATTGCACACCTGAGACCGTGAAATACTGGTAAATAAAACTGCAAGAGGAGACATCTCAGAAAAGATGCAGACGAAGGAGTGGTTAGGATAATTTCTCAGGAGAAACTGTTTAAGTCTTCATTTCCTCATCAGGTGTTTTAAGAATTCCCTGAAGCATTTTGTGGTAGAACAAAAGCCTAAATAATCTTAATTCTTGCCAACACTAGTCATTCCTGTAAAATTCATGCCTTGCATCTGTCTCCGTAGGCTCCAGATGAATCAGCACCACTTCACAATATTCCTACAAAGTACAGAGCCCGATTGTGAGTGACGTTACTGTGTGTTAAGTTGTTTAGTTGGCTCTCCAAAGGCAGCTGCTGGTTTTGCCAGGATAATTTCATGTCCATTTCCCAAGCTCTCAAGCTTGTCCAGCACAGTAATTTGTATAACAACTGTCTTAGTTGCCTAACATCTTTCCTTGGATGTTTAAAAGGTTTTTTCTATCTCAGCCATGTCTGCATGTGTGGGTGCATATGTATATGGGGAAGTACAAATATCAAATCCTTCCCCCTGCTAGTCTAAACTACTTTGCTCTTGAACTGTTGCATGTTGTGAACCCACTATAAAATTTACCAAAAATAAAATTACAGGTGTAAAAGAAAGAATTAGATAGGCTTTTAAGCACGATGTATGATCCCTGTAGCTTGTACGGGTTTGACTGGGCAAGGTTTTATTCACTTCATAGAGTTCTCCAGCACCCCCCACTATGTCCCCTGCTCACAAATTCCTGGTGTCCTCCTGCTCTGCCCTGGGATGTCTGGCACATTGCCACCCTGCCCAGGAGGCACCAGCACAGTGGGCCAGGGCAGAGATTTCAAGTATTTTCAGATATTTTGTAATCATTTTCTCAGGCAGAGTGAGCCTGAGGAGACCCAGAACCTTGCTAAAATGCTCTGCAGGTATTGCCAATCTTCTTGAGAGGACCAGCTCCAGGAAACATGGACCTACAGCTCTGCCCAACACTCAGCCTAAAACCTGGAGACCATCTAGATTTGGCCGTAAGTGATAAACGTCCAAGACTCCACTAGTTACAGTCACCACCTGTTCGGCATGTAAAACCCTAACCTATGTGTCCCTATGCTTAAGAAGAAAGTACTTTCTGAGCAGCAGTTTGCAGCTAATTTCACCTTTGTTGATGGAAATGCCAGGTAGAGTCTGGCTCTGGGGCAGTGCCCACTGCTGTGTGTTCCTGCTCTGCCTCAGAGTACCCTACTCCCTCAAAAAATGTGCTCATTTACCTGAGACACACAATTACGAAGGCTGGTATCCCACATTTATTTTTTCCTGTTGTCAAACATGAACTAAAGAAAGCTTGCCAAACAGCTCAAACCATTATTTTTCTGTATACCTTTCTTTGTTTGCCTTCTTCCTTTGCCATCTGCTACCCAAAACCAAAGCATAATACAAAGACTGTCTGGTACCCCTGAATGCCCTTGTTTTCCCTCTTATTCCATTACATGTTTATGCTTTACTGAGTCATTCCAGCAATACTTTTAGTTCCTGCTAAAAAGATAAAAAATTAGCCATTTCATTTTTTTTTCAAGTTCATCGTTGTAGCTTTTTTGTGGGGAGTTTTAGCAGATTGACTCCAGACAAGCAAGGTCCTTCAAAATGGTGGGCCTTTGAAATGCATATGCAGGATTTGGCAGATTTTTCTTTCCCTTTTTATTTTTCTTCCCCTCTTGGACTAGCTATCAAAAGGGTAAAAAAAAAAATCACCTGTTTGAGATTTGCAGCATATGTAAGTCTTCAGCTGGTGTGAATAGCTTTCAGTGGCATGGCATGCCCCTTGCTAGTCCAACACCAGCAGTATGTCAATGGCTCCTGGGCAGTATAATTATTTTCTGGTGAGATTTTGATCAAAGGTGTTCTGAAGGTGAGCACCGACTTCAATCACTTCTGGTTTTTAACTGCTCTGGAGAAGTTTGTGTGTGACAGACAGCAAACAGAAACCTTAAGAGCAAACCCTTAGAGCAGCACAGCGTGTTGGTCAGTGGCACAGGAGTGTGCTGCACTGAAGGTGACTGGCTAACATGCTTGCTTGTGCACAAGCCCAGAACTCTAAGAATAACTTTGTGTACATTTTCAGCTTAAAATTTGGAGAGCTTCAGTTTCATTTCTATCCAAATAGATTTGATTGTGTGCCTGGGCATGTGTGCATCTGCAGCGGTGAATAATTTACAGGATGTACCCATTTTTAGAGAGAGGTGGATTCTATTTTGGATTAAAGAAAACAAAAGAATAAACAAAAGTAAACTTGCGAAAGACCTCTATGGGGGTTTTTTGTTTTGTTTTCTTTACAAACGTTGCAACTTTTGAGTATGAAAGTACTAGTGTTTACAAACAGTTCTAAGGAGTACAGAAGCCCAGGAAAGATAGTTTGTTTACTGGGATAGTTTAAGATGAGCAGTGAACAAAAGATAGCTTTTAATAGAGGAAATGTGTGCAGGCGGATTATGGACACAGGCAAATTACAGCAGTTAGAATTTAAAGGAAAAAATTCTTAACAGCTATTCAGAGTATCATTTTGAAGTAAAGACAAAAATCAACAGCAAAAACATCCGTGAGTTTTGATAAGGAGAAAAATGCAGACAGTGGAAGCAGACACAGGAGGTTTTTTCCTCTAGAGAATGATGGTGGGAATTAGGACTAGGTTATGTTAATCCATTGGTGAACCAAAATACAGGAATTTGAAAATGAACAGAACAATGCACAAAAATGACCTAGAGGAATTGGTTAGTGCTGCTTAATATTCATCTAATTTCTCTGACATTAGCCTAATTTTGACTTGGTTATGTAAGTGAATGCATAGAAGCCAGCCTTTACCTCTAATGGAATATTGATTTAAAATCATTTTTCACTTACTGAAAACTCCCTGAAGAATGCCCAGAGCTTCCTCACTCCAGCTTTTTGCTGATGAGGTTGTATTTTCTTTGGGAAGTACTCTGACACGCAGCCTGATTACCAGAGTAGCTCAGTACTGATTACATAAAGCACTGGTGAGAAACAGGGGCTTGATGTACCAACAGGCTACTGATCTGCCTTTTTGTCTCTAGAAAGCAGTTCTGGTAAAGTCTGATTTTAGCAGTGCATGTGATTGTACAGATGTTTTAAGTAAAGCAGGCAGTTGAAAGATGCCTGTAAGTAGCAAAGAAGACATATGGACGAGGTACTTGAGTTATACTTGCAGACACCCTGTAGTGCTCCTGGTTATCCCTCTCTGTGCCTATTGTACTACTCAGAGACTTATGCTGAATAAACTGAACAAAAACCTAAAAATTAAATACTCTCAGTACTTGCACTACATGTAGCATAATCTGATGAAACTAACCCCCACGCAGCCACTATAACAGTAGCCCTAGGAAGGGCAGAGTAGGATCAAAAGAAGAAAGGGGAAAGAGAGGAACCAGCCTGCAGCAGTTAGCGAAGCTGAAACAGAACTCACTCTGGTGCGATGATACGTGGTCCCTTCCTCAGCACACACGAGTCCCTCTGAGGGCTGACCTCGGTGGAAAAGGCTTTTATATGCTCAAGCACTGTTTATTAATATGCAAACCACTCCCCATGACAAGTATGCCTTCATTACTCACTCTCTCCCCCCTCTCATACACAGGCAGACACAGAGCAAATTCATCATTTTCTCAGATAACAAGCAAGTTTGGTGACTTTTGGGACTAATACAGCAAATTGTGTGCTGGAGTTTTTCAGCCTGTGTTTAAAGACAAGAAATACTTTAAAGTGCCATTTAAAAAATATATAATAATTATTAAAACACAGGCACTGGTGAGCTGAGTCAGACAATGGGTGTTTTTTCTAAATGTAAGAAGTGTGGAACAAGCCAAGAAATGTCTTTCTTGGATTATTTCTAACTCATGTGAAGCCCCACAATATCTGACCTAATTCTAGAACAATGCCTTAAATAGCTGCAATCTCACTTTTACATAAAGAACAAAGTGTGATTTAAGTTGGTTTGGTTTTTTGTTTTGTTTTGGGTTTTTTTGTTATCAGTGAAGAAGGGTAAAGAGGATTCATGCAAGCTCTGTCCATGAGTAATGCACATTAGAAGTTAGGGCTGTGTGAAGTTATTGCTTCTTATCTGTTGTGGATATTGTGCTTTTCTGTTTGTTTTCATTTGTACTTTGGCATTAGCAAAGCCATTCAATGCTGCCGTACTTTGCTTTCCACTGAGCTTACGACCAGAACGCAGCAGCAATGGAGCAAGCTTTCTGATGCTAAAGAGCAGACGTGTACTACACAAGTCTGTTCTGAGGCCTCATTCATCTTTTATAAAAAACAGTTGTGGGTGTTCTCCACAGGTGCAGGGAGCAGTGCTGGCCAAAGCACTCTCCCCTAGGATGAGGATATGCCAGATCCTTGTAGCTCACACCATGAATCATTTACCGCAGGTCAACTTGTTTCCACGTAATACATGTTTTTCCCTGATGTCCACAGCTGACTTTTCAATCACCAGCAGCCTTTATAGCTAAGAGAAAATTTAAAAAAAGAATCACAAAGTGTCTTCCAATTGGGATTGGTGTAATCTGAGCAGTGAGCTAAATTGCTGAGGCTTACCTCCATGCTTTTGGATTTACCTTTGCTGCAGACTTATGATTTAACATTCCTTTTCTCCAGCATGTCAACTTGGGAATGGTGGTTTCAAGCACATTACAAAAAGGGAAGTTTAAAGTGGCCTAATTAATACCATATTTCCCCAGTTTTTAATTGTTGATTGTTGAATAAGCAACCTCTTTCAGGTACAACAGTTCCTTCACTTGCGGAGAAGCATTCTGAGACATTTTCCTCATGTTGTTAGCAGAAAACTGAAGGAGTATTTATGGTGCTCAGGTAAATGGAATTTGAAACAAATTTATTTTACCGGTGTTTGCAAGATTTTGAGCCACTAAGAAGTTTTATTTATTTTAAGTTGGAGCAGAGTGTAGAACACAGTGGTATGTTGTAGGATCTGGTTCTCATCCTTCTGAAAGGGAAGCAGAAAGTATTCTCCAGAAGTTGTTTTCAACAGACAGCAGTTTACTCCTACCCTGACAAGGTTACCAGTGATGATACATGGTAATGCATTAGTAAAAAACACTGGTAATCCAGCTTTTACTTTCGATGTGAGGTATTTAATGAGTTAAAACTGTAGCTTCAATCCAGAATTTCCTTCCATTGAGTTGGTATGGAGCACAAGAACTTCTTTGTACTACAATTATACCTTCAATGATTGACAAGGTACCAAAAAACCCTTTTTCCCTTTGCTTTAGGAAATCTTTAATGTGGATCAGGAGGAAAAGATTTCCAATCTGCAGCAGGACTGTGCCGGGACCAAATTTTTAACCTCATGTTTTAAGTGGGTAATTCAGCCCCTGTCTGGTGGAAGGATCAAATTTTTAACTTCATATTTTGAATGGGTAATTCAGCCTCCATCTGGTGGAAGTTGGGCTCAGGCCATGCATCATGGGCAGGTGTTAATCCTTCCCCACAGTGCTGCTCTGAGCACCTGAGAGCCTGGCAGGGAGTGTGGTTAGGCAAACAGTGGGATTTCCAGAGGCTGTGCTCAGGAGCACCTATTACTTAGGTGACTGCAGCTCTGTACAATATCAGGAGGTTTCTTCTAAAGAAAAAGTAATTCTTCCTTTCTGCCAAATTCTGCTCAGTGCACATGTGAAAGATCAAATAAATTCCTGTGCTTTCTAAAACGGGAAGTGATACTACAAGTTTAAAATAATGGAGTTAGTGATACACTGAAATGATTTAACCTTTGTTTCCTCTGTTGATGTTTTCTTACAGATTAAACTATCCCTTACTGTTACCCTTTTGGCCTGCAACTCCTGGTGCTGTCGTGAAAAATTTTCTGAACAGCCAGTTGTAAGCAGTCAGGCTGGGACTGTGTACCAGTCTGTTGCACAAGGTTCTTTGCTTAAGTGTCTTTCACCTCTGTTCAGCTTCTGGAAACTTCAGGGCTGGGAGAACAAACCAGTCAAGATCATGATGTATTAAACAAGTGTGTATAAAACCTGGGTGCAGAGACATCCATTCATATCTGACACCTTTCCCACAAGCCGTGGCAGAGGCATTTTCATAGGAGGAGCTGTGGTGAAGTGTCCCACAACTGAGCAGTTTGCCTTTTGACAATTTGCCCTTTGGTCATGGAGCAACATCCAGATTTCTCATGGTCAGCCGAGCACTGTGGACAGCTCTGCAGGCATGTCTGGCAATTGCATGGAGTCACCAGGTCAGTGAAAGGATGTTTTCTGTGTATTTTATCCAGGGAAGAAAAGACATTAACTAAATGATACATCTCCTTTCTTGGTCAGCACAGCAGCTCTCCTCTCAGCTCAAAAGCCCTAGATAAATGCAGAGGAAGTCACTTGGATTAAATTTAAATCCAAGATTTAGTTCGGCAGATGTCCCTTTCAAAGCATTCACAGGCTATTCAGGGATCAGTACGCTGCAGGGCAGATCTCCTGCCCTGTGATTCCCTAAGGGTTGTGGATCACTCTGGCTATTGACTTGTGGCCACATCTTCCCCACTTCTTCTGCCACAGTTGCTGCTCCACCTTGCACCCCAGAATTAATAGTTAAGCAGAAGATTTGAAACAAGATGCAGTACCTCATGCTGTTGCCTATGTATCTCTGTGGTGAGATAGCTTGCTTACTGTGTGCGCCAGTAAAAACATCTATGATTCCTGATGTCTTGCTTTGGGAACAAGAGCCCAGCTCACAGGAGCTGAAATGGGAGTAAGTACATGACCATGGTGCAGGATTTTCCCTGGATGGGAAATTCCAACCAGGCTTTTATGGTGAGTCGACTTTTGTACTGCACAAAACATGACCATCTTATTGAGACTGGTAACCCACAGTTAGTGCATCTATTTGTGTGTCCAAGAGAATAAATCTACTCAAGTCAGAAGTTTTACTATAAATTTAGATATAGTCATCGTGTTCCCTTCCTTAGAAATTTCCTCATTTCCTCATGCTATCCCTGTCTTTTTTTTTTTAAATTACAGTGCTATGCTGCTGTTACAAACTTGAGCAATTAAGCATTTAGGATAATATAAAGAAAGTGAATAATTACAAGTTTCATAATTTTTAATCCCCTTCATGACAGATATTAGGCCTGTAAAATATTAGACCTGCAAATGCAGCAAAGGCACTTGGCCTTTTACATTTATATGTAATAGAGCTCAGCAATTTCCCTTCTCCTTTAGCAAGTAGTAAATTCAGCCAGAAAAAGACACCTTCAGACAGACCTAATGTTGGACCTCTGTAGTTAAAGTTTAGAAATACTTTTGATCAAAGAAGTGCTGTGGGAGAATTAAAAATACCAAGTATTTCTTTTTTTAAAAAAAGTTGACACATTTGAACTTTTTATTAGTGTTCTCATTGCTTTTTTTTCCTCATTTGAAAGATAACCATAAAAAAGGTTTAGTATATTTAAAGAGACCATCTATGAGAAAACAAGCATGTTCCTACATGTGCAGCTTGCTTTGCTCGTGCATATTCCATTACTCTGTTTATGATATTTTGTAAAAAGTATGCAGAAGGGTCGTGAATGTATTTGAAAGAAATTATCCATTCTTAATCAAATATCCTTCTAGTGTTACTGTAGCTCTAGTAAAAGGCAATGTTTAATGATCAATAAGATCATTATACAAGCAGTAATGAGATTTCCTTTTGAAACAGAGCAGCTTAGAGAAGCAATCAGCTACAGACAAGCCTGCAATTTTGGGGTTTTAATTTAGCCAATAACATTTTTTTTCCTCTGCTCCTGGCAGCAGGGAGATTTTGTGCATGGGAGAGTGAAAAGCATCAGCTGAAAGATTCGTCTTCAAATTACTACATGGAGAGCAAAAGCCATAAAGAGCAGTCGGTTAGACACAGTTCTTTGTGTTCAGAAGTGATCTTTTCACTTTATTCATAAATAGGAAAGTTCACAGGTGCAGGTGGTTTTATATGAAAGACCCTGATCCAAAGTCCACTGAAGCCAGCATAAGGACTTGTGCTAACTTGAGTGGGCTCTTGTCTCGGGTGCTGGTTTTGCAATTGAGAATTTTGGCAGGACCGTAATGGCTCATTTAGTTGAAGCTTTTGGAATTACCTTTCCTGGTGCATTTGCTTCAGCATTTCATGTAAGTTGTGCTCAGTCCTGAGCTAGCTAGCAGACTATTTGCTTTATCTTAGCACTTTTGTTTATGAGAAATTGGCCAAAGTAATAAAACCTAGTTATCATAGAGAATGCATTTATCCTAATAGCTTCTCTGACTTAGTGCAATGGAGTAAGAAGGAGCAATGATGCTCTTCCCAGCTCATAGGGAGTTACATGCATGCATGACATTTCAGCAAAAATTCTTGATGAGTAGCCAGAGGACCCATTGTCGTTCAGAAGATGCAGTTCAGCATAGAGATGCTGAATGGAGGTCCTTGGTATGTCAGCAGATGGCTGACTCATAGCCGTTTGAGGTCTCTATACTGATGCTTTGTTTCCCATTACATCCTGCAGAAACTTTTCATGGAATTGAAAAACCACATGCCCAAGTCAGAGCCCATCAGCTGCTTTTCTTATTTCAATTCATGTTTTGTTATATCTGTTTAAAAGAGAAGTAAGAGTTAAGAAATATCTGTGCATAAGTTGCAGAAAATAAGAGAGCTTTGTTCCTCATCCTGTTCATGTGGACAAAGTATTGATGAAAACTGGAGATGCTGTCTGCTTACATTTGGATAGATAAATCACGAGGTTTCACCCCCTTGTGGGCCTTTGTGATTGTATCACATTGCATGGACAACTATGTAAAGGAATCAGATGTGCTTTATGAGCAGGGGATAATCTGCAATTCACAGAAAGAGGTCAATGCAATTAGTGAAATGTTAAGCCTCACAATGTAATGTAACATGTGCTGTCTGCCTGATTCCATCCACATCAGTTTCAGAAGGGATAACACACAAATGTGTTACTTAACAAGTAAATAAAAGCTTCTAAGGAGAGCCCTCTTAAAAACATGAAGCCCCTTCATCTCATGAACAAGTCTGGTCTCATTAGGAAGCTCCCAGGGAGTCCTGAGCAGGCACAGGACCTGGGCAGGGAGGGCACACTTCCTGTTTGCAGATATGAACTGAAAGGCTGAAGGAAGAGAAAATATTCACTTCAACCGTTTGAAATATGAGAGTTCTTAAAAAAAAAAAATCTCTTCACGCCATGCTTTTTGATTCCACAAAACGAATCATTCGATGTCACAATCACTCTCAAGAAAACTAAGGTGGATTAAGAAAAACATGGTGTAAAGACTTTGTGGGTTTGGGGTTTTTTGGTGGTGGTTTTGTTGTTTGCTTGGTTGTTGTGGGATTTTTTTGTTTCTTCTCTGGATTTTTGCTATAAGAGAAGTCTTATTTTCCTGGAAGTATATGGGAGTGATCTGTCAAAGTGAGCAAGACGAAAGGATCAGTGTCTAAGCCTTAGTTATGTTGCCACACAAAAGAGCCGCAGGTGACTTGCGTAGCCCATAAGCTCAATACGTCACCCTGCCTGAAAACCAGAATGCTGCTTTTAAAGATGTAAGGCCTCCCCATGGCTCCAGTAGTGACTTTCCAGCACCAACTGCTCTAATCACAGTGGAAACCAGTACTGGTAAAGCCAACATAAATGCAATAGGGGAGTACTTGCATTTGTTTCCAGATGACAGAACTTAGCCAGTTCCATAGCTAGCCTACCTCTAAAGCTCACTGTGTCTCCAGGGTATTGATATGGTGAAGGAGGTTAGAGGAAGTATAATATATATCAGAAAACCCTATTGAAAATACCAGGTGAGGAATTAACTTGTTTAGCTGAAACACTAGATGCCTTTGATTAAGGGTTAATTTTGAGGAAGCATTAGCATCAAGGGATGGAGGCAGTTCTCAGAACTTACTGAAGAGACAGGAGGAAGAAATTGTAAATCTTTGTGCACCAGAAGCAAATTTGAACTCAAAAACAAGGGAAGCTTGAGCGTGGAAGTTAATGCACAATTAACAGAAGAGAACAGAGAATTGCCTTGGATTTATGAGCAAGGAACTTATTCATTTGTTCTTTCACACTTAAGCAGAAAGGGACTCTGCCTGTTGTGCTTCTCAAAGACCAAAGTACAAATATTTGGATTGTTAGCTGTTCTTCTTCCTCTTTGAATTAAACAATAGTCTGAGGTGCTTAAACAGAAGTTATTCAGGTGTTCTTTGTCTGAATTTATACTGGGTATGGAAAAAGCAAAGCAGGTAGGTAAGAGGGGTTTAGGCCCCTCTATTCTTTGCTCTATTCATCTGCTCAGTGGCTTCTGAAGCCGCAGACAGACAGCTCTTGCCCATGTGCAGCTTCATCACCCGTGTTCCTAAAGGAGGTGACTGTGCTGTGGTGAGCCAAGTGCAGCATGAGGTGATATTTCTGTCTGTCTGTCTGGGGCTCACAGGGACTTCAGCTAAGGTGTACTGCCCCACCCCTTGGTGCAATCACTTGGCCTCCCAGCCTTTCCCTCACATCCTTTTTTGGGTGAATGCTGTGTTAAGACCTACAGGCACACCTTCAAGGGTAATTGCTTCTGGTGGCTTGAAGCTCTGAGTGCAAAGTCGCAGGTAACTGTGTGTGGTATGCCGCTACAGTGCTAATTTGTCCATAGAATGCAAAGAAGCACAGAGCTAGGTGCAGAGACCTGGAGGACATTTCTAAAGCTAGTTACAAATATTTTACTGCTTCATCTCTGTCTTGTGCTTCTCTGTAGTTGTTGTAGGCCCAGAGGTTAAATATTAAAGCAGTGTCTTTTGTGTAGTGGCTTAAATAGCAGCAGAAGGGGAAGGCAGCTAGCATTTGTTTGATATTAGACAGGTGTAAACTGCAAAGATAATTAAAAATTAGCAATTACCAGGCATGATTATAATGAGAATCAGTTGGGAAAAGCTCTGCAGGAGAGTGACAGGATTGCCTTTGGCTTCAGACTCTCCTCTTGCAGCTCTGGAGAACAGAGGGGTGTTTGCACTTTTACTCAGATGCCAGAGAGCATAAAAAAGCCATGCCAGCATGGTGCATGAAAGGATGATCTGGGTCCAAATGCAGTTCCCAGCAGCAGTTGTACTCTGTGTTCCCACTATGAAAACCAGACATAGTGGTCATTATGAAAGAGCAGAGCAAAACTTCAAATGCTTTCTCTTTGCACTGGTTCTGTAGAGACAATATGGAAGTAATACTATCTTTTCTGGTAATAAGCTCATTTTTAGCTCTGGGGAGATATTTGGAAGTATTATTGTGTAGACAAGATGTGTACATCAGCAGTAAGTAACCAGAGATATTTGCTCATAATGGCACAGTTACAAAGGGGCAGAGATGGCACTGAGCAAAGTGACATAGCTGCAAGAAGTCACTTTGGGGTAAAATGAACTTATATAAAACTAATTCAATTACTGTTTTCTATCCGTGTAAAGTTATTCATCAACTTCAGTGATTTGAGCTTTAATTCATATGAAGACCAGAGCTTACCCTGTCAAGATTCCTGAATTTTTCCTTTTCTCCTCAGGATAACAGAAAATAGCACGAAATGCCTTCAGCTTTCCAGAGATGAGCTTTTCAAGGTCAGTATCAGTATTTTTATTGCCTTGCCAAAACCCAAATATGTTCCACATTCCACCTGCTTCCCTTCCAGAAGTCTGAAATGATTAAGATTCCTGTTTGGTGAGTTTTTCCTAAAAGATTTTTGGTTTTGAATTCTTGGTCCTCCATCAATCATAGTATTGTGAAAATGCTTATTTCTGCCATCCCTCCTCCTTCCAGTGTTCTTTTCAGGAGGTACAGAATAGCATAACAATCTCTGAGAAATATTAAGACTTTCAAATGGTGAGTGTTCTTCAATTATTCATTCTTCTCCTTTTTTTTCCATAAACTGCAGATGTTTAAGAAGTGATAATTAGAAGAGCCTCCTGTTTTTGACAGATGCTGCCCTATAACTGACTTCATGTATCCAGCAAATACCGACTGTGAGGACTGTAAAGGGTTATTACACATATTTTGTCCTTAAATTTATAGCACTTTTTTTCATTGTTAGTTTTAAAATACAGAAATTCTTGGTGACAAACTGCAGTGGTATTTGCAGAGCAGTTCACTTTTCATGCTTGCTGCACAGGTTTTGCATGACTTGCATTTCACCAGATATGGTTCTGGGTTTAGGTGCAAGTGGTGTTTGAAAGTCCTTAGTTAACAGAATAAAAAACGAAACAAATGAAAAATTTGCAAGTGCATCATCTGAAAAGACCAAGCTCTGTAGTGTTGTAAACTTTGATATTTTCATCATTTTCTACTGCAGGAAGGAAAAATACTTGGATGGTGATGTAAAATAGTTTATTTGAACATATTTTGGACCGTTTTGTCTACCCTCATAAAATTGCAGGAAAACATAAATTGCTTCAACTACAAGTATTTTGATCCTTATCCAAAATATTTACTGTAATCTTAAGGCTTTTGCAACATTGTGTCTATTGGTAAGTGTATTTTTCTTGGCAAAAATAGATATTTTTTTCCAAGAGTGTTAAATACCTGTGTAAATTGTCCTTGTCTCCATTACGGTTTTTTATTTTACTGTTTCAATAACTAAGATTATTTCTTACCTGCAAATTCTTGTGGTGTTCTGACCTATGTAGCAATGTCTTACTACATGGCACAAGGTTTTACATTCTATTTTATACTAATCATCAAAATTGTGAATATACAGCAACCCACAAGCTATAGAGACTCCCCTCTGCCCACTAAATGTTAAATAATCTCTGCACTTCTGCAGAAGTGCAGTAAGAAACTGAGAAGAGATAAATGGAGACAAAATAATGTATCTGTATTCTTTTCTGTTGCTCAGCTTTTCTGGAAGTCGTGACTCTCCCATCCAGACAGTACTCCCTTTGTTTCCACTGATTCACAGAGCAGCAGGAAGAGAGGAGGAGTGGCCCATGGAGCTGGCAGTGTTGTTAGGGTGGAGTTGAATGTCAGATGTAGGTCTGAACCAGGCTATTTTCATAGCTAAAGATAAAGCAGAGGTACTGGTCCAACCCTAAATGTCATGCTGTCAGTCCAACAACTTGTCTGCAGGCAGCTTTCTCACCTCTTTACCAGTCTTCTGAGCTGTCTAAATGAGTGATCAGGGAGTTTTTGCTTATCCAAGTAGTCTCCTGAGTTTGTTAGAAGTTACCCAAGCCAACCTTGCCTCACATCCATCTCAGTGTCCCAGCTGATCTACAAATAGCAAGAGCTCCTTCTTTCCCATTGTGAAGCAAATGGCAGTAGCTCAGACAGGGCAGAAGACCCCACCTCATGGAGTTGTGAGAGTCACAGTCAGTGGCTGGAGTCAGAGAGTCACAGTCTACAGTTGAAGCTAAGTGAGAGCTGAGACAATTGAAAAACAATCCTGGCCTGTGTGCAAGCAGGCTTGCAGGCTTGGTGTATGCCCGAGAGAGAGAGAGAGCGCACTTGCTCAGGTACTGCTGTCTCTTTTCAGATGAGATTTTCCCCTTATCCTCTTCCCCTGTTTTCTGTGTTCCCCAACATGAGACGATGCTGCAACACTTCCTTCTGTGCTGAGTGTGAAAAGTGTAGTGTCCTGGAGCCATGAACGCTGTTTGCTCATCACTGCAGGATACGTGCAGGAAACATTACAGAATGTGGTTCACTGCACTATGTATGTCTTTTTGTCCATACAAAAATGCTCCCTGCTGAGCACTTTCTGCTTGGAAATTTCCACTTTCATTAAGATGTCAGTAAACTTACTAAGTCTCTTTTAGTTTTCTTTTAGCCAAACTCTGCTTTTATACAGACTTTCAGTAATACACTTCTGTTTTTCCTCTAAAGAAGCAGCAAAAGTATTGGAGAGTTCTTCTGACTTGTTTAGCACAGTATTAAAGAAATAAAGGTATCTTTGTGTTCTTGATATATAATATTTTGCAAGTTTTTGACAGCTGTTGAGTTAAAGTAACTGAAATTAAAGATATAAATTCATTCCAGGAAGTTGCTGTAAAAACAAGAGGAACAGTGTTGTCTGGCTATGCCTTGTACCACTGATCTCTTACCATGATCGAGGATTGTTCTGATGAGAAAGGAAATTACTAGTCACAGATGATGAACTCTAGCTAGTGAGGTAAGGATCCCTCTTTTCTGAGTTGTCTGTGGAGATTTCTATCCCAAGGAGAAGCTGAAGAGTCACATTTCTAATTCCAACCTGAGATGGATCAGTTACATTCTGATAGAAAGCAGAACTGGTAAGGGCCTTGAGGACCCTGCATGAGACACAGCACAGTGCTCTGGAAAGAAAGCACAGTAACAGGAGTACCTTTATGTGCATGTTTGAAAGCAAGGTAGAATTTTGTTACTTGCAGAAGTACATTGTTGATTTAGTTAGTGGCTCAAAAATGCATTTGCATTCTTCAGGGGAAAAATAAAGGTAAAAAGTTTTAGCTGCATCCTCAAAGTTTAGCCAAAACCCAACCTTTCTCACTAGCTTTGTTTTACCTAGACCCTTTTACTCCTAAGCAGAGACTTAGGAATTCTGAAAGTAATCGCAGGCAAGGCAAGGGTTATCTCTTTTAGTACAGCAAGTTGCCGGAAAGAGGATTTGCCCTTTGTATGACTTTGATTGCACACACTTTAGCTGACCACTAAAGCCGATGACGTGTTTGTTCCATTGCTGAAGCTATCTTTGACCTCATTTCCTCACATTATACCCAACTAGAGGGTAATCAATAGGATCTATTTGCAGTTACTTGTAGCCCAATTAAAACTACAGACGATCCAAAAAATGATGCTACATGTGTAAGAACATAGCAGTCAGTAATAAAATAACTCTTTTGTGTTGCTGGTGCAGATTATGGTCTTAAGAGTAGTTTAGGTTGGAAGGAACCTCTTGAGATCTAGTCAAGCCCCCCTTGCTTAAGGAGGGGCAGCAAGAGCCAGTTGCTCAGGACAATGTCCAGTTGGGTTTTTGATATCTCCACAACCTCTCTGGGCAACACTTTTCTCTATTTTACCACATTTACAGTAAAAAAAACTGTACTGGAGCTGGTGAAGGTACACTCACCAGAAGCAAGAACCTTAAACCCTGGACTTGTGCTATCATCTGGGCAAAGTTGTAATACTTATGTAAATTATACAAATTTATGACTTATTCCAGGAAGGTATTGCACAATCTAAGTTTCTATAGCACTTGGTATGAGCTCTTCACACTAAGCAAAAGATTTCTGAACACTATATAACAGAAATGTGAGAACGACCTGCCCCGTTCATGATTATGTTAGACTTAAACCCTCTTATTCCTACAGCACATCCTTGCAGTGCCAAATGGTGATGTTAATTTTTAATAAACTGAGTAGAGAAGACAGATCGTGGATATTAAAACCACTGACATTTTCTCACATTTTTTCTCCTCTTCCTGTTTGGGGCACTGTCCTGAAAGTGGTCTCTTCTCTCAGTTTGAAATTGGTGACTCTCTTCCTAGTCACAGGATGGGAGGGTTATTTAGAGAGTCCTGAATCACTCTTTGATTCTGTAATAGTGAAGGCAGAACCCTGGAAACAAAGTTTTGTGTTATTATGGATGACATACGTGAGGAAATGTGATTCTCAGCTTATGAGAACTGGATATAATCAGCCTAACTTATGAAAGTGTATGAAAGTGCTCCTGTAAATTGATTCACCAGAAGAAGTATTAATTCCTAGAGACAAGTATCTGTCAAGCAAAGAGAGCAAAGACTGCTGAATAAGTAATGGACTGTATTAGTCCTCTATGCCTCAGAGAAATAATGGAAATTGATATTCAAATAAAAACATCTTCAAGTAGCACATAGTTTAAATTTAAAAAATTAACAAATCCCTCCCAAGTCAATGGAAACTATCAGTAATTCGGTGAGTCCAAGTGTTTACTTATCCTCATTCCAGAAGAATAATTGTTTTCATCTTCCAGAAGCTAAGGAATTGGCTTATCTAGCCTTGAGTGTTCAGAGTGAGACTAATTTCTTCAGACCCTGTTTTCCAATGCTTCCCAGCTGGCATTTCCAACACTTGTGTCATGGAAGGTCTTCTACCTCCCACTCCTGACATACCACTCCTACATGGTAAGTAAGGCTCTAGTCAACATGCCAAATATATCAGGCCCTTGGAGAGTCAGAACAGCAGCTGTATGAGAGCTGATTCAAGGTGTCCTCTGAAGGCAGGCTAGCAGCAATCAAGCATTGCAGTGTGCTCATCCCACTGAGAAGGGCATATCTGCCACAAGACATGGTCCTCCACATGTGACCTCAACTTACACATTTGGGGTTTTCATTAGTCAGACAGATTTGATTAAGGCAATTTCTCAACAGTTAAGCAGTGCAGCTAAATGCAGCTGTTGGGGCTTTGTGCTGGGACAGGAAGACAGAGTAGTAGCTTGAAGAAGCTTCAAGCACTATGACATTTATGTCAGGATCACTTCCTAGGAATGGATAGAAATGAGACTCTGACCAACAGACATGGGAGAATGTGAAGCACTGTGGACTTTGGCTGCTTCTGTGTAAAAGACAGATGAACACCTAAATATAAGATACTATAAGCTGTTTTGAGATTAATATTTCCCCTAGCATACTTGGCTTCTGGGTAACTATTACTCAGCTTATTGAAAGCCAGTCATTCACTTGTAGTTTCAGTCATTCCCCTGCATTGCCAGCAGGGTTCTCGCCAAACTGAAGCTAGATTCGTGGTGTTGGTCAGACTGACTGGCAGCGGATGTCCTGCCTGAGAAAGGCAGTGGGCTGCCTTTGCAGGTGTCCCAGGGTGGTTGGACATGACCTGCTACACACTCAGGGCTTTGGGACTCCAGAAAATAGCGTATGCTTTCACAGATTATTCAACCTCAAAAGCTGCCATCATATTGATTAAATGAAATAACAACGTGGGAGAAGACCTAAATCTACTCCTAATTAATAGGGCAAAAAATCATTCTACGGGCAGCAAGCTATTGCATATCTGCCTTTTGTAAGTCCTGGTGAATGTCCTTTGAAAGAATTAGTGGTGGTCAGTGTCAAAAGCAGGATAGTGCTGGGTGAAACTCAGCTCTGACTGCAACTTGTACAGCTTCGATACGAATAAGGAATGGTTTCAGAAGCGCTGAATATAATTATTGACACCTCAATATAAATTATTGACACCTCAAAAGTAGGGCAGGGTTAATGTCATTATGTCACTTCCAAAGAATATTTGTAAATCACAGAAGAAGAGAACATGACAGATTAGATTATCAATGGATAAGCATAAGGAATAATGGATGAAACCACACATAATTAAATCCAAGGTAAAAAATCAAGCATTTGTTATAGGAGCACTTCTTCAGGAAAACTAAGGCAAAGTACTCTTTGAAATATGTGCATGGCAGCTGGGACAAAAGTTAATATAAAAACCAGAAAAACAGTTTTCCAACCCACATCTATTGCAAATACTATCTGCAGTAGAAAAGATATACACATACTTTTTGTAGGGTTGAATCTTAACAAATTCCTTCTCTTATTGCTAATGTTGGAATCCCATTTGTCTGAAAGGAATGTTTCTAGTTATATATTCATGAAACTGCATCATGAACTGAAATGCATCATGGTTAAGTGCTCTACAAAATCTAGATGTAATTGAAAAGCTTGATAGAATAAACTATAAATAACTTCCTTAAAAATCAACTTCATTTGGAAACTCATGCTTGAGAGCACGATCCCATTTTCCATAAACATCCACTCAAATTTACAAGTTGCGTGGAAAATGAAATTATTATTGCAAAGCCACAAAAGAGCCTCATTTTGACTTAAATTTTCCACATGTCCAGCATGTCTGTGCTGATTACCTTAGTGTTTCATGTATAGTTTCAGCTTCTAAAATGCCTCACTGCACTGAAAATGTTTCAGCTTTCAGCTCTGAGGAGATTGAGCTCTTCTGCTGGGAAGTGCTTGTGTACTGGCAAAAGGTGCTGCTGAGGATGATTTGTGAATAGGGCTTGCCTCCTTGTCACAGTTTGTGAAGCCCCTGTGAAAGCAGGGCTTTTAGGCACTCAGGAAAGACCCCCTGGCCGGTACAATTGATCTCACTGCTTTGCATGGTCTGGTGAACTCGTTCATGGCATTGGTTTTATATATGCTGCATCTTTTAAAAATAATGCTGTTTTCCACTCTTACTGTGTGTGACTAATACAAAATATCTATGCCTGCTCTCTTTTGAATATCAACACAATATGTCTCATAAGAAACATATAAAATGATTAGGCAATGAAGCAATTAATTGATTTAATAATGAAGCATGAAATCAAATAGACTTTGAGATAGAGTTGAGTGAATCTGGTGTCTGATCTGATTAAGATCAATGTTATTTTCTGCTTGTTAGAGGCCAGGGGCTGCTGGTGAAGTCATTAGTTTTAGTTTAGTGGCCATAGCACATTTTGACAGGTTTTACTAAGTGGTATTCGAGCGACAGCTCAGTCTTAAGGGTCATCAGTGCAATAGTGATGTGGTTGTTTTGGTGTTTTCAGATTTATATCAGAAAAAAGGGACTGCAAGGGACTTTCATGGGTGCTTTACCTTTTGATCACAGAAAAAGTTCTTTGCCAAGTTGGAATGGTGAATCCATCATCTCCTTATGGGTAAACACATGAGGGTACTTTGAAGAAATATTAACATCAGTAGAGTCACAAATTTCTTTGGTTTGAAATCATTTCAATGAACAGCATTTCCAAAGAAATTCAAGATGCCTAGCTGCTTTTGCTCTGTGGTGTGATTTGGTTTTGTTTTCTTTATGGTGCTTTCCATGGAACAGGCAGCCTTGGAAAGATGAATTTAAGAGGGCAAGGCTTCTCTGCCAGGGAGATGTTTTGTATCCATTTGGTTCCCCCTGGATTTGTGTTTGCACAATCAGAATGTAGTCAAGAAATGTCTTTAAAAGGTTTCTTTGATTTATAGACCAATATATCTCCACTCCAGAAAACTGCAGTTGTATCATTGAGTAGTGACCTGGGTGAAGAAATATTCTTTACCTTGAAGTATAAGCAGATAGTGTTAATAGAAGATTTTCTAGGAGAGTAATAACTACACTCATCTGATACATGCTACAGAAGTCTCTCAGATGGAAGGGGACTATTATGAGAGCTAAGCAGGATTTGGAATTGCTCATGAACAAGGAAGTCTGGTATTTGCATGAAGAGCTTTGCTGATATGAAATGCTCTTGTTTCAAAGATTTGGGAATCAAAGTTCTTAAAAGCCAGGAATTTACCAATGTAGAGGTATTTTCAATGTCAACGAGATATTTTCATGGTTCAAACTTTGTAAAATGCACATGACTTCTCCCAAGGCACTTCGTAACTTATCCAGATTTTCCCGTTTTCAGTGCTTTGCAGGGGTGGCCGAGGGAAAAAGCATCCTTTAGAAAAAAAGAAATCTTACAGATATTCTTCCCTTACCAAAATAATTTTCTAGTGAATCACCTTCTTTTCTATGACTCCAAAGCAGTTCAACCAGAGAGATAGTTGTAATATCAACCCTGGATGAGAACAGGAGTCAACATATTCCTTCTGGGGCAAAGGGAAAAGTAGTTTTCTATTTTGTTAACTGCCAGGAAGTGAGTCATATCAGTCAGTTCAGCAAAATGAAATACACTAATTTCTGTACAAGCCAAGCTGAAATGAAATTCTGATGTTTTGTTTGTTTGTTTTGAATAGACTAGTCTAATACAGTAAATTTCCCATAAAATCTGTGCTTCCCTGGAAAGCAGGGAGCTCTTGGTTAGTTCTGTGTAATACATTGAAGAAGTCTTTGCTGAGTTCTTGGCTTTAGCAAACCTTTGAATGTTGAGTAATATTAATACATCTCTGCAATATCATACTGGGGTTTTTTTATAGCATTGCTGACTTTCTAAGTTATAACTAGGAAGCAGAAATAAATCTTTTAAATTTTTAACCAGGGTAGGAAATGTGAAAACAAGCAAGAGATGAGGCATAGAAAATATCTGAGAATATGTTTTGGAAGACAGTTTGAGTTCTTAAGCAGGCAGGTCAAAGGGGAAAACTACTCATAAAATCAAGTATGGCTGCAAAAATAAGTCCATTTAAATAATTTCTAGCATGCTAATACATTTTTAGATGTGTTAAACTTAGAGCGATTTATCCTTCATTTGCCAGCAGGTTTTAAAGTGAGGCTGAATAGGATTTTGCCACTGGAGAACAAGAACGTTGCACTAACCCTGGGATTTGAAGTGTCTCAGCAGCCCGTTTGCTAAGGGAGGGTATCTGTCAACTGGCTAGCTACGGTTTTTGAAGGGTGTGTAAGGTGTCAATTCTTCTGTGAAATGTCTCTCCCAAATAGTAGCACTATTTTAAGATCATAATGTGGTAGACACTTTACTATGAGAGAAGCAAGTGCTATCTCCATAACTCATTGTCTTTTCCCTTTTCACAGGTTAATCAAATTTCAACAGTTCTTCACAGCCCAGTGGAATCATCACAGACCCGTTATATTTAGCTGAGTCATGCTGCTTTGTATTCATGTTTTGAGCTATGGGTGAGTGCGAAGCAGTAGGTGAATATAATTTTGTGAACGTAATACCATTTCATGCTAGACCTTACAAACAGAAACAACACTAGCTTTGTTAACAGACTTTCCTTGCTCTCTGTACTAAGCAAGAACCCTGAGAGTTTGAAGTGTCGTGTAAATCTGTTAGTTAATGTATGCTAGCATGTTTTGAGAAATGTGGCTTTTACTACAGTAGTAATACTCTGAAGGTTTAACCAATGTTTGATATAGTTAACATCAGAAATATATGTATGGATACTTCTTTGCTCTTAATCAAACTTAACTTCATCCTTTAAATGGTACAAAATAAATCTGCTTGGCAAACTCATAGATTCCAGAAACTCATGGAAACTATTGGTCTGTTTTTGGGAATACTTTGCTTTCTATAAAATCTGAAGGATATACACTAGCTAGGAAGCTCACACTCAGAAGTTCTGCTTTTATACTTTTCTCTAAAATCTACCAAATACCCTTTTCCCCAAACCACTGAAGGTTTAGCAGAGCTTTTTTTAACCTCAGTTAATAATGAAATTTACCTCTCAGTATAAGTGTCCAAAAAACCATAGTTTTGGAAACTAAATCTAAACCCCAGGCTAAGTTGCCTGTGTACACGCCTGAAGGCAAAAGTTTTTTGGAAGACATTTTTGTAGCAGCATTTGTAAAGTTAAAATTATCAGTTTGCTGACACCCTGGTTGTTAAGGGTGCTGAGTTACCTCTTTTAAACAGAAATGCTTTAGAATAATTACATTTTATAAACCAAAAAACAGTTCTGTATATTCAGAGTCTTGAGTGTAGTAAACCTTTTAATGAGACAACTAGTAAACCAGATGAGTGGCTGTAATTTTTTCTCCACAATGGAAAAAAAGAGATGCTTTCAACTCTTCTTCTTTGACTTGAATTCTTCTTTTCAATTCTTCCTGAGAGGCATGTTGCCTGCAGTCTTTTCATGTATGACATTACTGAGAAATACCATGTCCAGAAGAATATTTTATCAACTCATCCTTACATTTCCTTTCCAGAGGTGGCCACGTCAATTACGTGGATGCTGAGCAGCTGTGAGATTGGATGAAAGAGTTATGAAATTCTCTGGAGAAAGCAGGAGGCTCTTCAAGTAACACAAAGGCAGTGGTGATCAAGAAGCAGGAAAATGCCTATGCTGGGAAGGGACTGGAGAAATCGTTATATGTGCCAAATCTGTCAAGACTGATAATTAGTATTAGCAATAAGTTATGCAGTTATCATCAGATCACAATGAAATAATGACAGCAAGTTTAACAGGATGTTTATGTAGTTAATCCTTTGGTTGATGTATTGTTTGTAAAGTACTACAATGGTAATGAAACTGTCATGCCTCCAGTGAGGCCTCTTAAATGAAATAAAAACAAGCTGGTACATGGCTAAAATTGAGATTGTACAATTCTGCATGGTGCTGCTCTATTCACCATGTTATGTTCCTGTTAGACCAAAACAGGATCAGGGAAGTCTGAAGTGAGAGGTGCTGAAAGAAACTAGAAAAGGGAGAAGATAGAGCCTCAGCTGCATCTCAGGCAATGCTGCCTGGAGGCAGATGGGGTGAAGGTGCCTGTTACACTGAAAAGTCGGCTCTTAAAAGAGTTTCTTTTTAAAAGAGTTTCTTTGGAGTCTGTTACAGGTGCCCCAACCAGGAAGAAGAGATGGATGAATTATTCTATAAGTGGCTGGCTGATGTTTCACAATTTTCAGCCCTTGCTCTTATGGGAGACTTTAACCTGTGGGATGTCTGCTGGAAACTCAACACAGTGTAGAGGAGGCAGTCTAGGAGGTTCCTGGAGTGTGTGAAAGATAACTTTCTGTTGCAGCTGATAAGTGAGCCTACTAGGGCTGGCGTCCCACTAGACTGCCTGTTTACAAACGGAGAAGGGCTAGTGGGAGATGTGGTGGTCAGAGGCCATCCTGGACACAACCACCAGTAAATCCTGGAGTTTGCAGTAGTCGGTGAAGTAAGGAGGGGTGTCAACAAAACTTTTACCCTGGACTTCTGGAGGGCAGATTTTGGGCTATTCAGGACCCTGACTCAGAAAGTCCCTTGGGAAGCAGCCCTTAAAAACAAAGGGGTCCAAGATGGATGGACATACTTCAAGAAAGGAATCTTGAAGGCACAGGAGCAGGCTGTCTCTATGTGCCAAAAGATAAGGCACTGGGCAAGATGACTGGCCTGGCCGAACAAGGAGATTTTGCAGGAACTCAGGGGAAAAAATGAGTGCGTACCACCTTTGGGAAAAGGGGCAGGCAACTCAGGAAGTGTTTAAGGATATCATTAGGTCATGAAGTAAGAAGGTGAGAGAGGTGAAAGCTCAGTTAGAACTTAATCTGGCCACTTCTGTTAAGGACAACAAAAAGTGTTTCTATAAATACATTAATAGCAAAAGGAGGGGCAAGGAAAACCTCCATTCTTTATTGGATGTGAGGGGGAATATAGTCACCAAAGACAAAGAAAAGTCTGAGATACTTAACCCCTTCTTTCCCTCAGTCTACAACATTACGACCAGTTATCCTCAGGACAACTGGCCTCCTGGACTAGTAGAAAGGGATGGGAGCAGAATAGACCCCCTGTAATCCAGGAGGAAGTAGTTAGTGACCTTCTGAGCCACTTAATGCTCACAAGTCTATGGGACAGGATGGGATTCATCCTAGAATGATAAAGGGATCTGGCAGAAGAACTTGCTAAGCTGTTCTCCATCATTAGTCACTAGTCCTGGATAACAGGGGAGGTCCCAGATGACTAGGCGTTGGCCAATGGGATGCCCATCCACAAGAAGGGCTGGAAGGAGGATCCAGGGAACTCTACAGACCTGTCAACCTGACCTTTGTGCTCAGCAACGTTGTGGGGCAGATCATCTAGAGTGTAATCACATGGCACATAAAGGACAGGAGATCAGGCCCAGCCAGCATGGATTTAGGAGGGCCAGGTCCCACCTGACTAACCTGATCTCCTTTTATGATCAGGTGAGCCACCTGGTGGGTGAGGGGAAGGCTGTGGATGTGTCTACCCGGACTTCAGCAAAGCCTTTGACGCCGTCTCCCACAGCATCCTCCTGAAAAAGCTGCAGCCCACGGCTTGGACAGGGGCACCCTGTGCTGGGTCAGGAACTGGCTGGAGGGCCGGGCCCAGAGAGTGGTGGTGAGTGGTGCTGCATCCAGTTGGCAGCTGGTCACTAGTGGTGTCCCCCAGGGATCAGTGTTGGGCCTAGTCCTGTTTAATATCTTTACTGATGATCTGGATGAGGGGATTGAGTCCACCATTAGCACTAAGTTGGGTTGAAGTGTCCATCTGCTGGAGGGCAGGAAGGCTCTGCAGAGGGACTTGGACAGGCTGGATCAATGGGCCAAGGGCACTTGTATTGGTTCAACAAGACCAAATACGGGGTCCTACATTTTGGCCACAATAACCCCATGCAGGCTGGGGGCAGATTGGCTGGAAAGCTGTCTGGCAGAAAAAGGCCTGGGGGTGCTGGTCGACAGCTGGCTGAATATAAGCCAGCAGTGTGCCCAGAGGGCCGAGATCAGGAACATCCTGGCCTGGATCAGGAACAGTGTGGCCAACAGGACCAGGGAAGTGATTCTTCCCCTGTACTTGGCACTGGTGAGGCCACACCTCAAGTGCTGTGCCCAGTTCTGGGCCCCTCAGTTCAGGAAGGATATTGAGGTGCTGGAGCAGGTCCAGAGAAGAGCAACGAGGCTGGTGAAGGACTCGAGCACAAGTCCTATGAGGAGCAGCTGAGGGAGCTGGGGTTGTTCAGCCTGGAGAAGAGGAGGCTCAGGGGAGACCTCATCACTCTCTACAACTACCTGAAAGGAGGCTGTAGCCAGGTGAGGGTTGGTCTCTTCTCCCAGGCAACCAGCAGCAGGACAAGAGGGCATGGTCTTAAGCTGTGGCAGGGGAGGTTTAGGCTGGACATTAGGAAGAAATTCTTCACAGAAAGGGTGATTGGGCATTGGAACGGGCTGTCCAGGGAGGTGGTGGAGTCACCATCCCTGGAGGTATTTAAGAAAAGACGATGTGGCACTTAGTACCATGATCTATTTGACAAGGTGGTGGCATTCATTCATAGGTTGGACTCTATGATCTCAGAGGTCTTTTCCAAACTAATTGATTCTGTGACTCTGTGACTTGCAAAGAACAGCTCTGTGTTGGGTAGACTTTTAATTCTGGAAATTAGGTGAGGAAAAAGTGATCAGAGTGAAGGAGTTAGAACAAGAAAGGCCAATTGTCTCAAAGTAAAGGCTCTGTCATTTGTGCCCAGAAATAGCTCTCATTAGCAATGTGAAAATACAATAAAGCTATGTTTTTAATGCATGTGTGAATATCAGTGCTGTAAACCAACTTCAGTTCTCACTATATATTTCAAATATATAAGCCAAAATGAAGTTTGAGATATAACAGTGGAATCTGGTTCCATGATTAAAGGAAAGTGATTTGTTACTTAGGTCCCAATGGGTAAAGGAGAAACTGACAGGAAGAATAACAAAACTGTATTTGTATCAACAGCTTTTGCTGAAAAACATCTTAGTGTTTCTCCTGGCAAATCTAAATTTGCCTCTACAAAGTTGAGATGGATGAAATGACTTTTTAATTTAATTTTTTATTTTATTAATAACAAAACAACTATGGCAGATCTTGCCAGTCGAGCACAGGATTTTTTCCCTCCCTGGATTCTGAAGTTCCACTGTGGCTATGATGCTGCATGAGGTGTTTCCTCAGCATTAGCTGCTGTTTTCTGGTAGAGCTGCAACACTGAACTTAATGGTGTGGCTGGACAAACACTGCAGTACTAAACATACCTAAGAGCTCACAAACATATGCTGCCTGCCTGACAGAATCTGCAATAGGCTGCTTTGGTTCCTCTGAAGCAAATTTGATTAGTAGTTTTGTATTCCAGCTATAAAAATGAATTCATTTTTAGTCATTCCTTGAATGGCAATATACAATTCTGACTGACGGAGTAGGCAAAAGAGAATTGGATAATCTAACTAGATTATTTTCATGTCTGGTTTTTTGGTTTCTCACTGTTCTACTCCTCTCTTTTCATCTAGAAATTAGTTTGGATAGAAGCATAGCTGTTGCTAAGGTGTTTAAACCTCAAAGTCAGGAGCCTTCCTGCCAGGGTGTATCTCTGACAAAGAAACATTTAGTTCCTTTTCTTTGTATCACTTGGGAAAAAGATGAGGAGAATGCTTGAGACTGTTGGGAAAAGCTGTTTATCTGTTATCCCATGCAGCTATATTTCTTGAATTTAACTGTAGCACAGCTTACTTTACAATCTAACATCTTTTTATGCTTCTGAAAGAACAAAAAATGCTTTTTTTCTGTAGGCCAGCCTTCTTCTGAGCTGAGCAGTCAGATGGAGAGTTCAAAATTGCAGCTTCCAGAATAAATGATTAGTAAAGACACACTTAAATTCAGCAATGAGGATTGTTCACTGTATTAGGAAATGCTTTTTAATTGAAATTAATTTTTATATGTGTGTGTATGCATGCATGCTCATGCAGACACTCTCAGCAATTCAGGGTATATATTCTGACCTGCTTATAGCTCTAATGAAAAATTTTCTGTAATATTTCTCCATAAAATTGTGGTTTTAAAAACCCCCACCCTATTTAAAATATTTTAAAGAAATACAAACTCTTCTAGTTATACTTGAAATGATTCTTAAAGTAGTCCTATGTAACTCACCACATTTCCTGACAAAAACCTCCTTTTAGCCTGCTGTTTTAATCTTATTTGATCTGCTTCTGTCTCTGCCCTGCAATTTTGAGCTTTGAGGAAGAGTATCCATTCCTGAAAGTACCTAGAGCAGACAGCTGCTTTTACATTCTAGCTGTCCCTTTTTCACTATGTGTTAGGGAAAAAAAGTCTAACTTATTTCAAAGCTTTCTTCATTAATGATTTCTAGACAAAGCAACACTTTTTCTCCTTTTCAGGAAACACGTACATTTGTGTTGTGGTTTCTGTGGGAAATGTGGGAAAGAAGCTACATGTGGAAGTAGCTGTTCTTGCTTACACCTGTTGCCAAGGAAAGGAGGACACCAGCTGGTCAAAGAAGCCCAGACACCTGAGTCCCATACCAGCTTCCTTCGTGGTACTCATTGGGTCTTTTCATTTGTATGCCCTGCTCTTAGGCCAAGGGGTTTTATCTTAAATGTTTCATTTTAGTGAAGTGCTGGATTTTTTTCAGTAATATCTATTTTGTTGAAGAAGCTAAATGCTTCCTGATGACTTCTGCACCAGATGGGATAGGGATTACAGGAACTCACGTGGCATTAAGCCAAGAAAGCTGAGAAATGGGCTCAGTTTGTGACAGAGAAGAAATTATAGACTAGAGATTGTTTAGGAAAGGGAAGAACACGGTT